CACACCTGAACGCTCACATCCTTTTAATTATGTTTGAAATTGTGAACATTGCTCAACATCATGAAAATTAAACCTTATTTTCAATAAGCAATCCTGAAAAATATTTGGGGGTGCTTAACTTTTTTCCAGGTGTATATAAACTCGGTTTTAGTGCTACTTTCATGGTATTTGTTTGTCTTTATGAATGTATTTGGTTAAAAGTTTCCAAGTGTTGGACGATATTCTTGGTGAGCAAACATACTGTGTCGTTTAATTCATCACATTCCTCCACTTCTAAAATGTTGTTACTAAAAGTGTTAAATCTCTATGATAAAACATTTCAGTCCTATAACTTTAGATATGTGTTTAAACGTCATCGCTGACAAAACATGAGTTAAGCACAAAGCTACACAATGGGCTATCTGTGCTCTGCCCACCGCGGGTATCGAAACCCGGATTTCAGCGTTGTAAGTCCGCAGACATACCGCTGTGCCACTGGGGGGAGGGGTAAGAACAGTGTATATATTTCTGTTAATGGAGATCAAATTAGCAGAAAATGTGCAAAATAATTATAAAAAGCCATTTATTTTAATTTACAGAAATATATATATATAACTTAATTAGTGAATTTTTTCCAAGGCGTTTCATTTTTTAAAAAACAATAATTCATTGATAAGAAAAATCCCCAAGAATCACTTTTGAACGAATTAAGTTGTTTAAATCCGTTTGAATAAAAAAATATTTCTTAGTTGTTGTTGTTGGATAACCAACTACTAACTGACCTTAATTGTATACAAGACGTTTGAACGATTATATATTATAAATATGACTGCGATATTTCATCAATAATAATTTGGCTTATCGAACCTGTCTTGTTGAGGACATTGATGGCTTACGTGTAGCATCATATTTGTTAAGTTTTAAGTCAATGTCCTTCTTTGGGAAACCAAAAAACTCACGCAACCTACAGTTATACTGTAGAAAAACCAAAGCTGCGTAGATTCCATCTGTTAAGACTAAGAACCTTACTTGCTTGTCAAAAAATGACTGATAATGTGAAAAAAGAAGGTCGTTCGCCTTTCACAGAGCACGGAAAAAATAGTACTATTAATAATACAAAGTGGAAAAAAAAAGTCTCCCTAACAAAGACACCGTTTTCTCTCACCTTCCAAAATAATAATAATAATAATACGCACAGTTTCTAGTTTTATGATGTTAACTTTGGCTTTATAAAACATGTTAACCAATTTGCATAATACTGGTGCATTTATAACAGCGAAAAAAAAGTAACCAGAAGACTAATTATCTTTTTTTATTTTATATTTTATCTATTGTTACCAGGTTATTGGAATAAAGTAACGACGTAAGAAATAACCATGTTTCTAGCAGGTGTAGTAACTTTTGAAATATTAATCGAGCTCTCTGGAAGTAGTGCTATAAAAGATACCCTCGTCCACTAGTAAAATTTCCTATTGTGAACAAATCCAACAAATTAATAACCAACACGCAAGAGTTTTGTCGATTTCGTTTCCGTTAGAGATTTTCACTCCCGACCAACCGCAAAAAGCAACGTGTGTTAGTTTCGCGACTTTCTCACACCAAAGTAGAAGACTTTTACCCAACATTGTTTAGAGGACTGGGTTTAATCCATAATACTAAACTTTTTAAAACCCCGTTTCTACCGTAATAACAAATGTAGCAATAAAAGTGTCATTCACATTCGTTCAAGCCCTTTGTCAGAGCCGGATTTCGAGGCCCTTAGAGTGCTAATCGAAACTATGAGGCCATGGTAACAACTATATGACTGTAGTAATGTTGAATATACGGAGGTTGTTATATTGAAATGATTTTGGAGCTTCACCACGCTCATACAGTTCAGGTCGCCACGTCCAGTCATGCTCTATCATGATAATCCCCTGCAGCTTAGTTTCCACTGTAAAAGGCTCCGTCGTAAAGACTGTCATGTCCAAACAAACTAGTTCCCCTGAATACTTTCCATAAACTATCTATTGTACAAATACGACAGTTTTCCAGTTCCCGTTTCAATGGTCCAATCGCATAGAAATCCACAAGTTCTAGCCTGGCAACTTGACCGATTGGTCTTCATGTGGTGTATACTATGAATACTCATTTCATTCTCCAACTGCTAGAGGTATGTGTTGGTTAAACAGATATGTTGTGGAAGCAACTTATGTAAGCATGATTTGTATCACTTTTCCGGAAGGAAAACCTTTTTGACTGCATTTCCTACTGTCGCCTGGGTCATGTGGAGGAGTTTTGCCATTCGCATTTGTGTTTGTGTATTCTCACCTATTATAAGACATTGAACTTTGCTTATCACGTCTGGAGTATGATTTGTTGCAGGTCTCTATTTGGATTGGCCCTAGTTCCTCAGTATGATCCGCATTCCTTTTGTTTTCCAGTGCCATTAAGTATAGTGGATATATATTCGTCTTGGAAGATCTAAATCCCCGACCTGAACACATCGTTATGATCTGAGTGTGTGAATATTTTGCGAAGGAAAAAAACTATTGTATATCTTTCCAAAAAGTGATCCATTTTCGGTGGCATCGCACTACCTACAAATGTCAAACAACGTAAAATGTAGTTCTGATACATTCCGTTCCATCATGACTTTATTACTCTTGTGGTTGTCACGTGACTTGTTAATCTGAATATTCAAACTCGTTTTAATATAACGTACTGAACCCTCTATCTTTCATTATATATTAAATTAAAACAATTGAATCGAAAACTATTTTAATATAAAGAAGTTATAATTGTATTTATATCTTTGAGATTAACTTTGAGACTAGATAATATATGTTCTTTACTATGAGAACTTTGACGCAGCACTATCAGCTGAAAGTCCCTAATGGCGTGACCCTATATTAATTAAATCCCCCTTTTATATGAAGTTGTTTGTTTGGACTAACACATGTTTAATGAAGAGGAATGGTATTGTCTAAAATATATTTACCCCAGAATAATACTGCAAAATAAATATCATATCAATTTTTAAATTTATTCATCTTTCACCAGATATCAATTAAGTTCATATGATACAATGTTTATTTCTTGTTTTTCATTTTTAAAGGTTTGGTTAGAACGATGCCCTATTGTTAGAGTTGGCTATAAAACAGGTTAGTATCAATATATTTACTTAGTCAACTAGTGTTCAAAATGTCATGAAAAATTAGAAAAAGTAAAATGAAATAATAAAAGTTGAGTTATGGCATGAACATAAAACAAAATAATTAAAGTATAAATAACAGAATGAAATCAGAGTTTGTAAACAACCTTTTACTACTTAAAAAACAGAACAGGAAACCAAATTGTGTCATAACAAAAGAATAAGTTTAACTATAAAAACAGAATCTAAAAATAGGTTTGGTTTGTTTTGAATTTCGCACAAAGCTATACGAGGACTACCCGTATAGCTACCCGTCCCTAATTCAGCAGTGTAAGACTAGAGGGAAGACAGCTAGTTACCACCATCACCATCACTCTCGGATTACTCTTTTACCCATGAATAGTGGGATTGACCGCCACATTATAACGTCCCCACGGTTGAAAGGTCGAGCATTTTTGATGAGACGGGGATTCGAACCCGCGATCCTCAGATTATGAGTCAAATACCCTAATCACCTACCCATACCGGGCCAATAAATAAGGACAGTCACAAATGCAAAACACTTTTAATTTCATTAATTCACCATTTACTGTGTTCCTGGGAGCTTTTCGTTCAATGTCTTCTAGTTTAATTGTTAAATGTTTAAAAACACATATAACAACTGACGGTTTTTGTTGCCTTTTGCTTATTTTTTCTTCTTCTGATTTTACTTGTAATTTTATAGCCTTCGAATACGACCGTTTTCTAATCGTAACAAAGATAAAGGATACTTAAGAGTATGGTCTCTGTCCTTGTTACTATGTTATGAGACGCTGATAAGAAAATATACAGTATATATACGTTTGTTTTACACTAGATTTTTTATTGCATTTTGATAAATCTTAAATAACGAAAATCTAGAATTCATGGCTCCACCATGCGCATCGATTGTAATCAATAGCTGTAAACTAATTATAGTATTTTGACACTTGTGTATAAAGTTAAAATCATAAATAATATTCAACGTTAAACTGGTACAGAATTAAAAACAATTTAGTTAGGCCTATCTATGGCCTTCAAAAAGTTGAC